ATATAGTGTGCTATATGTATACTAAGCTATGATTTCTTTAACTAAATGATTGTCTTATTTTAAGAAAAGTTTTTTTTGATTTAAACAAATTTGAGGAAAGTTTTTTTTTAAATTATTAATTTAAATTGAATTATTTTAATGAAACTTGTAATATTGAAAATTGTAAAAATCTTGTTAATGGTGTTAGATTTAAATATTTAAATGTATTTGCATATGTTTATAAGCTTTTTATTATATAATAATTTCCATCCATGTTTTACGAGAGTTTTTACAAATGGGAATCGGTTGCGTAACGCGCGCGTATGATTTGATTAACTTATTAGTGCACGACGGGGGGGCCTAATCGAAATACTAAACATCGATCAATCCTAATGACTCTATTGAGGATCCGCTGTTTGACTATGCAATTATCATACTGACACTCTCACTCTTTGTCCTTAACTCGTGGCTCTGCTTTTATATAGACACAACGAACGTGTCCTCCTCCTCTATTTCAAACGTCCTTTCTCTCTCCGTCTATATCTGTCTCTATTTTTCCATCTTTATAACACCTTTGGCTATTTTTACACTTCGCGACTGGCCGCTAATAAACCGCCCGCCGCTCGCGGATCAAATTTTCATCGGTCACCGTACAGCAATCATCACAATCGACCGAAATAAGCATAGGAAGCGTAAAATTGGGTATATTTAACAATGGGTTGAATACATTGAGTATTTCTGTTCTGATGAACTTGACCATTGGCTAATTAACTCATACAATATATTCAATATAGACAGTTTGGATTTGGTAGAATTGGTGTAAACTGGTCGCGCTCCCATTTCCCAATCCTTTATCTGTCGGACAACCATTGATAAGATTACGATTACGAAATCGATTTTACAATAGAAGTGGCGATCGATCGCAGTCGATGCACACGATGATTAGATAGAAATTACTCGCTTTTCCCCATATCCTCGAAGAGCCAACGCAGTGTCCAACTTCTGTTACCAAACGGGATAAACCGAAGAAGCGGAAAGAAATGGTGAACAAAAAAAAAACTATTAATTTGTCAAAACTTTATTTGTACCGCTTTGTTTTCGTCGCCGCTATATGTTTATTTATTTGTTTTGCTCGTCGACCAAAAATAAATCGTTTACGATTTGTAACGTTCTTCGTTCCTTGCGTTTCATAAGTTCCATTTCGTAACCTTGACGGAATTATTGTAGTTTTGAAAATAATATCTTTTTATCGAGACGCCGCTGCCTGTAAATCACGTGCCGCTACCGTTATTGAATCCAAGATTATGGGAAAATTACTAATTTTAAATGCTTTCCGTTGAATTTTACAATTACCAGAAGTGCTCTTGCGATGTGTAATATTCAGTTAACGGCAGTTCGGACTGCTGACAAATCTGGACAACAGATACAAGTTCGGATTAATGTACTATGTAGATTGACCAACTTTTGAGATTTAACGAAGAATTCGGTAATCGAATGGATTATGTTTGTTAACCGAAACTTAAAATAATATAACACGTTTCTTTTTAATGTAAACTTAATTGATTACATTTAATCAATATATTCAAGTAGAATCGTAATATCAGGACGATAAGAAAATACAATCTGTATTATAGTTTCGTGTGTGCTCTTGTGTATACAAATACAATACTTGTCGGAAAATCTAGATAAAGAAAAACGTAACATTATCTCTATATCTTTACAAGTAACTTTTATTAATAACATAAGCAATTGGGTCAATGAAACGCCACGCATGATCATGAGATGAAACATCCATGGGATGAGCACAATGTCAACTGGATGATGATGATGAATCGCTTTCCATTATGGAAAAGATATTTGTTTTTGTTTTCAATTGAAGGAAATTAATTTGTAAGGTATATACGTGTGTAATGAGGATTGATGGCACAATAAGTTTATCCAATGACAATTATTTATAATAATTAATTGATGATTAACTAAATTTATAGTTTACAAATAGATTTATGTTATTTTGTTTACATAGCCTACCTAATTTTTATTATATTTCCATTAATTTACTTTTATTTTATATTTTAATTTAGAAAGAGAATATAATATTTTTTATTCTAAATGTAGTATTAAAGTAGTGTTTCTCAACATGGGTTGAGTTACATTTTTATTGTGTCGCGAAATGTCAGCTGTCACCTTTAGTCACATCGAGTTATGTCTTGATGTGACAAATATGTTGTGTCGTGTGAGACAAATGTTGAGAAACGCTGGTATATATAGTAGCAGAAATTGGAGTTGTCAAATATTAGAGCTTTTAGCTTAGATAATTAAAAAATATAAGAAATATTAAGATTTGACAATAGCTGATGTCTAATTTCTTTGTTTTTATTATTGTATTGAGTATTAATTTTGAAATTTATTGTTGCAATAAATATTATTATTATTAGATGAAATAGAACATCAGAGAAATCCATTTTTATATCTATTTATATTAAAAGAATAATGTTTCCTTTATAATCTGTTGTAATACTTTTATAGCTGGATAACCTTGGAAGTTTACATACGAAACAATGAGGAAAAATCTTACAAAAAAAAATTGTTGTATAAAAGTAATTCTAACAAAATGTTATCCATAGTACTTAATAAAGAAGAGAATACCGTTTTTAACGAAATAAATTGCAGAACGGATTTAATTTTCACAGTTATTAAGACTAAATGTGTAAAGTTATTAATTGACCAAAAGAAAATTAAGCTTTCTTTAAAGATGGATCATTAACATACAATTGCATTTTGATTACATTACTATAATTTCATGTTACATTAGACTCAATGAATATATTTTATAATTATTTTCATATTAATATGTTCAGGGGCGGATTTAGGCATGTTCTTTATGAGCTACAGCCGAGGGCCATGTCCAATGAAAGGGACTAATCTAAACTTGTGTTAATTGTGTGACCCCCAAACAATGTTAGTCGTGGGCCCCGAAACTGTGTTAGTTGTGGGCCCTCGAACAATGTCAGCGCAGGGCCCTCAAACAGTGTCAGCGCAGGGGCCCTCAAAGTTAACGGTTCAATTATAGTTAACTTTTCAATTATTATAAAACAGTTCAAAAGACATTTTATGCATAATATAGAATATTTTGTCGTAAATGATTTGGATTTTCATATACATTTATTGTGTATTATGAGTTACTTTTTGCTTTTATTTTATTTGGAATGTACGTAAGCAACGTAAGTGCATTTCAGTAATTGAACGAAAGGCGATTAAAATGAATGTCGATCACAACTCGGAAACGTTCGTATCGAAATAGCACAGATAACAAGCATTCCATGAATAATGCTCCCCCAGAGGAAGCATCGAAACACATGACACGGATCGAATGCGAAATAAAAAAAATATCTAGCAGTAAACACAATTATAACCATTTCCGATGAAATTTAAATAATTTCATAATACTTATATTATATATGAAAAAAATATCAAATATTTTTAGTGTTGAAATTATACACTTATATTAATGAGAAACGTATAAAGAAAAAATTGTAATATTTGTTATGAAATTAACAAAATGTTTATGAAATGTTTAAAGAATTTTCAATGTTATTTCATCTTGTTTACTTATTAATCATACTTAATTGGAATGGGATCACACATTGATAGCCTTTTGAAATTTACCAAACACTAAATAATAAATATCTAGATATTTTTTTTTGATATTAATAAAATGAAAATTAAATTATTCTATTTAATTTTGTGTTGTGATCAAAAAAAAAATGTACTGCTACTGTTATCATCAGCGGAACGAACAACAAACAAACCTGCTGTAATAACAAAACTGTGTTCCAAGGAAATTGTGATTTCAAAGTTCAGAGCCTCAAGTCAATTGGTTTGAAGATTAATGGATTAGCGCGCATAATATGGTACTACACTGATAATTGGAAGATAAAAACAGTAGAGCGCAAGACTATGTGAATGGATGGAATGGAGAAACATCGAGGATGTTGTTGTTCCTCTGATATAGATATGAGTTCGCTAAGCAACGTTAATTCGCATGTAAATTTGATTGTTACGGAGAACGAACGAATTTGTGGACAGCAGTTTGCTGTAGTGTTCAATTGAAATTGCAACTTGTTTCAAAGAACATCAACTTCACCTTCATTTTCTTCTGCTCTTTTTCATCTTTCTTTTTTCTGATCTGTGCGTTTTGGTGGTTGATTCCGCATGGATCCGGAAGACCACGACGAGTGTTACTATTATTATTATCATGAAGGTGATGAATCGGTGGTGATGTACGATGATCAGGTGTTCTGTGCCTCTTTGGGTTCGATGGCAGATTTTGAGGTACACGATTTTACTTGAAAACGATCCATTTACAATGAGTATTTTGATTACTATTGATGTTTAATTTCACTTTTAAATGGAAAACGTAAACAGATTTTATCAGATAAAAGTTTTTGTTTGTACGTTTTTTAATTTGTGAATTGGATCTTTTCTATAATAACAAGTATTGGCTTTTAATTATCCATTAATAATGACCACCCTTTTCTAATTAACTATTTATAAAAAATAATTCAATAATTTACATTAGTGATCAAATTATGTTCCAACAGGTTCCCAACCTTTTTGTATCTTAGGGCACATACTAAAATACGGGTAGGGCGGTGGGCACCATCTATTTTTCAATTTCAATTAATTGGCAAGCTTTGGTTTCGTGAAAGATCAATGGCGAAATGGTCATTGCAAATCATAGGATTGGAACCAGTTGATACCTTATTCCAACATTGAATGAATGTAATATTACTTATATAGATGAGATGATTTGCTTTAACTATCATCCTAATTTATGCTTCATTATTACTAAATGATTCTTTAGTTGACACTTAGATTTAGGAAATAAAAATAGAATTAAATAAAATGAATACTATGAGTTACTTTCGGAGTTGATGACAGTTGCTGTGAATGTAATTGGATAGTTAATGTGAAGATAACTTTTGATGACAGTATTCTGATTGTTCTTTATTTTTTTGCAGACTGATAGTGAGGTGGCTTGCGAGGAGGCGGCTCGTCTGACCGCTGAACAGCAGGAGACCGAGTGCTACGAGGATGAGGAGTATTGCGACTACCACGATATACCGCCACCCCCGGACGGCGGCTACGGATGGGTAGTGGTGCTGGCCAGCTTTATGTGTAACATGATAGTGGACGGCATCGCCTACACCTTCGGCGTATTCCTCGACGAGTTCGTCAATTACTATGGCGAGCCTAGCGGTAAAACGGCCTGGGTAGGGTCTCTGCTATCCGGAATGTACCTGAGCGCCGGACCCGTTGTCAGCGCGCTGACCAACAAATTCGGTTGCCGAGCCGTCTGCATAGCCGGAAGCTTGATATCGACGACCGCCTTCGTCCTCTCGATCTTCAGTCCAAACGTTAACGTCCTCATGCTGACTTACGGCGTGATGGGCGGTATCGGCTTCGGTCTGATCTACCTGCCGGCTGTCGTTTGCGTGGGCTACTACTTCGAGACGAAGAGATCTCTGGCCACCGGCATAGCCGTTTGCGGTTCTGGCGTTGGAACATTCGCATTCGCTCCGCTGGCCACGATGCTGTTGGAGACTTACGGGTGGAAGGGAGCCAACTTGATCCTCGCTGGTTTGATCCTGAACTGCGTCGTCTTCGGTGCCCTCATGCGGCCCCTGGAATATCCCAAAGAAACAGGCGAGACTCCTTTGCTGCAGAGGATGGCCGAGGAGAGGCGCATCCAGATGGAACGCGGTTCGATAGGCGGCTCCTACTTCATGGTCCAGCTACCCGACGGTACCATGGAAAAGCGCATGAAGCAACCTTTGAACATCGACCCAGGCGTGCACTCTAGCTTCAACCTTGACCAACTTGGTCCCGGTACGCCCATGACCACGATTCCGACGGTTCCCACCTTGCCGACGATCACGGAGGTCAAGGGCCAGGACGCGAGCGGTACGAACTCCATCAACGACGTCTCGAAGGGCATCAAGAACCCGCGCGTCGACGAGCTCAGCGACACCAATCGATTGCCAAGGAACGCCAGCCAACCGGCCTTCACCACCCACGTGCAGGGCCTTCCCAAGAACGGTTCGGTGCCATCATTCGATCGCATCCGTAAAACATCCGTCAGCGAGCGTTTCAAGCCGACCCTCAACCCCATCCGTTCCAATTCACGCGGCACAGTCAACTCTAATGGCGACCTGAAGAAAACCATGCGCTCCACTTCCTCCTTCGTCGGCAGCAGAAACAACAACAGCGAGGCAAGTACCATCTGTTTGCTCTCGCAGCAAAATTATTAATTCTTAATTTATTCTTTTTCTTTTCAACAGGACAATGAAAGTCTGGGCTTCACCTCATCGAAGATGTCACTGTCCAAGCCGCAAATCGTGCGTCCCCTATCCAGGAAGGACATCTTCTACTCCGGATCCGTCCTCAACTTGCCCCAATACCAATCGCAGAAGTCTCTGGCCAGCTACAGACAGAGCGTTATCAGCATTCCCAGGCCCAGTAGGACCGAAATGGTCGATGCCGAAAAGGGAGAACGTGAGTCACAATTACATTAATTTTATCATAAATGTTAATATCTGGTTTACGTTTGAATTGAATACTTACGAAGCTTTCTATTTAGACTTGTGGAATTAATACTAATTTTACTATAATTAAGATACTCATAGAAAGCAATATAAGTGAATCTGAAGTCTTAACCACTTAAGATAAGATTTCTATTCTACAAAGTGTATCACATTATTCTGCTTAAGGAAAACTACAATTTGTAGTTAATAAATCAATTATTATTTATCGTGATTTTAAAAAGTCTTACGTGAAACCATACTCATTCATACGTTGCATTACTAATGATTTGCGCAATCAATGCAAGGCAAAGAAATAACTTTACTTTTTATGACCGCTTGCACTTTTGATACTAAGGAAGTGATTCATTCCTTCAGCTGTACATTTTTTTTTAGCTTGACGGTACTATTGTTTGTAGTGGCAATAACAATGATTATTGTTTTCTCTTGCCAATAAACGAGGCTTAATTGATGTCATCTGCTCTCTCCAATTCAGAGAATTGCGCGCCTCGCTCATTAATGCAATTGTCCGGCGGATCGTTGCATCACGAGAAATTATATTCTCTTCTTTTTTTTTGCGGATAATTCCATTTGCTATTTTATGTTTATTTGATTTGCAGAATACGACCTGTGCCCTTGCTTCGTAATGCCGGAAAGTTTCAAGTCGGCTCTCGGTCAGATGATGGACGTCAGCTTGCTGAAGAATCCCGTCTTCATGCTCATCGGTATATCGAATCTTTTCGGAATGGCCGGCCTCTACGTGCCGTTCGTGTTCCTCGTTAATGCGGCTAAATTAGATGTAAGCTGATGAACAAAAAAAACACTCATGACTATGACTTATGCTATGCTTACCATTTGTTTCTCAGGGCATCGATACCAATAGTGCGTCGTTCCTGCTTTCGATAATAGGCATTACGAATACTGTGGGTCGTATCGCTTGCGGCTTCTTCGCAGATTTTCCGCAGGTTAACGCCCTTTTCGTCAACAACATCTGCTTGGTCATCTCCACCATCGCCGTTGCCGTCACACCGCTATGCCATACCTACGGCGCTTACATTACTATGTCCATTTTCTTCGGTCTCGCTATTTGTAAGTACATTTTCTATACTATTAGTAACCTTCCTTTCTCCTACAAACTGTAATATCATCAGCAAGAGTAGTGTAGATGTTTGGAAGCAGTATAATTCATACCGTTAATCTATATATTCACACACAATATAATCCTATTTTATACTAAAAATGATACTTTTTTTAAGAATCTATTATGCATTATCAGATTTACAGTAGTGAAAGGTATAAATTTGAGTTCAATTAATTAGAGAAAAAAAATACAGATATTGATTTTGTCTCAAATAAGTACAAACCAAAAAAAAGTACAGGAAAGTAGAACGATTGATTATTTTCGGCCTACTATATACTCAGATGAAATTTTAATCCTTTGTATTTTCTTATTTCGCTGGCCCAGTTTCTTTGGATTTATTGATCACGGTTTCTGGAGCGAAGTTCAATTTTGTTTATTTCCCCATCTATCTGTATTCCTTTTATAAATGCCTTCAATATCTCCACTTCGCATTGAAGCTTAATTTTAACGATGCAATTAATTTTAATCATTACTTTATAATGGTGTAAGATTACAATGAAAATATGGTTCAACTAAACTACTGCTAAAAGCAAATAATTATAATGTTCAAAGTTTTATACTGATGTTAAAAATGCTTAAATTTAATGAGAATATTTCTTCTTTTTCTTTCTATTAATATTTTTACTTTTATAGACTTTACAAATTGTTGTCATAAATAATTTTTATCGAAAAGATCATAATATCAAGCCTATAGATTAGAATAGAATAAAATAATTAAAATCCACATTTTTTTTTTACTTATTTCATAATTTCTTGCTACTATATTAGATTTTCGTAATTAAAAGAATTCAATTAAACATGAAAAAACTGCAGACTTTGATTTTGTCTGCTTATGCAAAATTCTTTTAGAAAAATATTGAAACTAATGTTGTTGTTGTTTTCTGTTCGTTTTCAGCTGGTTATATCTCGTTGACTTCTATAATTTTGGTCGATCTGTTGGGCCTGGATAAATTGACGAACGCCTTCGGATTGTTGATCTTGTTCCGTGGGGCGGCCGCAATCGTTGGCACTCCACTGGCCGGTGCCTTATACGACGCGACAAACTCGTACGACATCCCCTTCTACGTGGCCGGAGCCCTCTTCGGCATCTCCGCCATCACCAGTTTTCTGGCGCCCTGCATGAAGCGCTTCTCCAAAGAGAACGACGCCCCACAAGGAGATGACGTCCTAACGCCCATCGAAGAAGATGAGGAGGAAGAGGACGGACCCATCACCATGGGCCAGAAGCCACAGACACAGATTCCAAAGATCGTCGCACACAGTCCCGGCGAAAGGGAAATTAAACAAATCGAGTCGGTTTTGTAAAGCGACAGCAAGCAAGCAAAAAAAAATGTAATAGTCGTCTCCGTTTTGTATAGTATTTCGATGCGAACCGCAGGACTTGTTTAGTTAAAAAAAAAGAAAACAAATTCACTATATCGTTGTTAATGATGAGAAAGAAGCGAGTTCGTGTGTCGAGAGAAGCCATTGTCGAAGAAATGGATGTAAAGCCATCATCATCAGCGGATTTGGTGGCTGTCGATTTAAATGTTATTTTAAATTTTTACTTTTTACTATTATACATACATACATATATATTATATATAACTATTATTATTAATTGAATGTTTAATTTCTTGGGTGTAAAATGATGTCGGCGAGTGATCAATGTGATTTGTGACAGTATTTGTCCCGTGAAAGTGTAAAATAGTCAATTCGATGGAAGCGAGAGTTATTTTATTATTACAATAATTGAAATGCGATTTTGTTTTACCATACTTCTTTTTTTTTAGTTGAATATTGTATATATGAATATTATATTATTTTATGATTTTTCTTTTTTAATTATTATTATTATTATTCTTATTAATAAAGTAAAAATATTTTTATTTTCGCGAGGGGCGGAGCGAAATTTTTCTTTTTTGATTGATTGGCTGAATTTGAAAATGTGAGAGAGAGAGAAAGGAAGATGCGCGCGCATCTTGGACTTTTATGCTTAGAAAGAACAAAAAAAAAGTTTATCGATCGTTGTTGAATTGTTTTCGTTTTATTCTGTGTGTCTCTCCAGAAACTTACTGTATATTTTATTAATTATTATTATTATGATTACACCAATAATATCAATTATTATTACTAGAGAAAAGAAATTCAGGGAAATAATTTATGTGCTGTATATAATTAATTTTAAAATGCGGATAGAACCCGTTTTATGATTAGCCTTAGTATTTAAAATGGAAGGAAAGAAACAAGAAGCGACAAAAAAATAACTACAAATACAATTTAGTACCTGTGCACTTAAAAAAAATCTCAACTGAATGTATTAAACGAAATACTAAAACATGTTTTAATTAATTAAAGTTCTTTATTTCTACACACGACGTTCTTTGAATTTGAAACCGCGGAAGTGACGTAGGCGTCGGCGGTGGAAGGAGCGTGCGTGCCATTTTTTTCTTTTTTTTTTGAAAACGCGCGGCGCGCCCCCACAACCTCGAGCTTGCTCACTGATGGCGCTGGACATCAACAAAAATGATTACTACAACCATGTTTACGTGAGCGATCTATAATATTATTTTAGGACTACATTTCGTCATCGTCGGAAATTCTGGACGAGGATTTCCTGGTGCTGCATTCCTCTATTATGTTATAATGGATTTTAAGTCTGTGGAGGAAGCGAACGATCTCCTGAGCAATGGAATACTGGTGGAAACAGCTAAAGGGTTAGTGCCTGCATACACCCCCACACAACCACCTGTTTTTTTCTTCTCCTTTAACCTGAATAAACACACTGAATGGGGCATGTTTCTCTTCCAGCGTGGTGTGCATGTCCTTGAATGATGCCCTCACATCAGACTTGAATCTATCCGTGGAAGACTTACAGACTGTGGCTGCTCAATTACTGCTGCAGCAGGAAACGAAAACCAAGAAACCTCTAATCTCAGTGCAGAGTGTCCAGGCAATAAATTCAAGTTTTGTTTCATCTGATGGCTTGGGTGATAGTGATGGGTTCACAAGTGAGTCCAGTGAAAAGTTACCGATCCCTCCACAGGTCACTATTGTGGAACCACAGATTGAAGCCAAAGTGCCAAAGAAGAGAGGTGGTTGGCCCAAAGGGCGAAAACGCAAACCAGAGCTGCTGCATCTGCCCCCAAAGGCTCCATCAACTGGCTACAATCTGTATCTGAATGACCAACGAAAATTGTTCAAGGACAGCCCCATGCCTTTCCACGAGATCACCAAGCTGATTGGAAACAAATGGAGCAGTTTGAGCTTGGAGGAGAAGAAACCTTATTTGGAGAAAGCTGAGGAGGAGAAGAGGCGCTACAGGGAAGAATTAAGGGAGTACCGGCAATCTGGAGCTTATCAACTTTATCTGGCAAATAAAAGGAGGAAGAGGGCTAAGTACAATGTACTATCAGAGAGTGATATGGATGCAACTGATGATCTGGATGAGGAAGACAATGAAGAGCTGTATTGCCGGACCTGTGATCAATACTTTCATAACCTGCACAACAAGAGGGAACATTTGCAGGGCAAGCAGCATATGCAATCTGTCGCCGGTGCCATACACAGTGAGTTGGGTTCAGATTATGAAACTGGAAACACCTCCTCATTCAGTACCTCATTGGATGAGTCGTCTTTGGACGCCACCATCCAACCAAAAGTAGAAAAGTCTGATTTGGTCGTCGATCATATGGCGAATTTGATTGGGGCCTTGAGCAAGCGGGAGACTGATATTAAGACTCTGCAGCGGTCTCTGAAGGAGAAGAACTCCGGCAATACGGCGCTGCACCAGCAATACGCGCAACTGAAGGAGCGCGAAACGAAACTTAAGAAGGAATTGGCATCATTGAAGCAGCAGGAGAAAGAAATGGAGGCGGTTACATTCAACTTGTGGCAGGTGCCCAGTTGGTTCGTAATTTCTGATAATCAAAAGTTACCACAATAAAGAGTGTTTTATGAAGAATGAAAAAAATGGAAGAAGGAAATTCCTTATTATGGATGCAGTATTACCAGCGTATATCTTTGAACGGCATTTTCTTTTTGAAACTCTTTATTTCTTTCTTTTCTTTGTTAGATTATATATATACTTATTAACGGAATTATTATTATATATTTATTATATATATACATGTTACATTAAAAAAATACTATTTAAAAGAAAAAAAAGACAAATAATATATAAATATTTGTAATATAGAGATGAATACGAAAAGAAATATACGCAAATATGAATAACTTGTAAATTAATGATATTAATTTGTTACCTTCTTATTTTTTACATCTTAAAGAAATAATTAAAGGTAATGAAGACAGGAAAAAAATAGGTTTGAAGCAATTACAACAAATTAAGCTTCAAATCAATAAAATATTCAATATGAAACGACCTCAATTCATTCAAATCAATTGGAGTATAAGACAATAAATACATGATATTCATTATAAAAGAGAATCTCCATGAATAGATATTAAATTCATATAGAAAAATGTTAACCTTTGAACACTGTTTATTCAGAGCAAATTCTTTATATACATCTAAACTATATGCCAGAGGTCGGCAAACTTTTTGGAGCAAAGAGCCACTTGACTTAAAAATGTCCGCACATAGCATTACTTACATTCGATATTTTGCAACAAAGTCACAACTGGGTGATACAATTACATACAGAAAAGAGCAGTATGTCGATGTGAGAAGTATATTTGTCACCCGTTATTGATATATACTAGGCGTGACAACACATGGTGTTTTTTTATATTTTATAAAAAACCAAACGTAGATACACAAATTCAAAAAAATGTATTTAATGTAATTGCATAAATCTCATAAGAATACATAAAAAAAATATAATTATGAAAAAGAAAAGATGACCACTTTGGTGAGTTATAATGCGGCGACCGGAGGCTTATGGAGCAGGGCTTTCTTTACTAGAACAGAAGGAATACTGCGGTAATGAGTATGCCGCCGGAACCGACCACACTCCCGTGTAATGGATGTGAAACGTTTGAGCATCCTGCAGCTGAATGCAGAAGACCTATAAAATGTAACAAATATGGTGGAAATCACAGAGTAGAAAATTGCGACAGTGACTTGGTGCAGACATTGTGGAGGTAAAGATCACTCTGTCTGGAGATGCCCAGATAGACCACATCAACGAATTAAGAGAATACCAAATATGATAATTAAGATACAAAATAAGAGATCAGAGGAACTAAATAATAAAAACAACAGAATACATAGACCAATTACCATAAACAACATCATAATTGATATGTAAACCAGAAAATGAAAACAGGACTATTAAAAAAAAACTAACAATGAAATTCATTGTGAAATTCAAAATTTTTATAACTGAAGCATTCACCGGAAATTAATTACATCTACACATAAGAGATTTGGCTGCTGCGAAAAATAGAGCAGAAGAATTAAGCAATATGCAAACAAATCAAATATAACAAATAAAGAACAACACTATAGATACTAAAATCATAGCAACAAAGTCCGCTCAAAATACCGGATACAAGGAGCGTGCCGAAAGAACCGAACCTGAGGGGCACACATATATTAAAAGCATAATAAAAAGTGTACAAAAATATTGTAAAAATTATATATATATAAATTTAAAAAAACAATCATTATTTAAAAAAAATGTAATAAAAATCAAATGAAAGTAAACTTAACTACGTTGAGCCGCATTTGCCCAGTAATAAAATTTACAGCTTTCACCTGACAATTGCTATTTAATTTGAGGCAATTATAAAATGTGCAGACAATAGCAGTTCTAATCTAATTATAGAAATTAAAATATATAAGATTCAGCAAATTATTGCAATTAAAGCGAAAAATAAAAGACAAGTAGAAATGGAATAAAAATACTTCATATGCAGTTAATCAAATTAAAAATAAATATCACATTCATAAACGCCCGACTTATGAAATCCCGGAGTTACGAACAAAATTCTAAAGGCTCTAACTTGTTACAAGGAGATACATAGTGATAAAAAATTAACTGTCCAAACTAAAATTGGTAATTTCTTTAATAAAATATCATATTTTTGGAAGATGTACTATCTGTATTGTTGCATATGTTTCTTTTATCGTTTTTTATTAAATAATTGTGATGTCTACATTGAAAAGTATTTGTAAGTAACTGTTTTGTTTATTTTAATATATTTTTTCAAATTTATGCATTCAGTAATACAGTAAAAACCATGATAAAGATAAGTATATTTTGATTTTTTTTTAATTCCCCGACTTACGAACGGAACTAGTTAGTAAGTTGGGTGATTCCTGTATTAACTTTGATATATATAGATTCAATGAAATATTCAGGAACATTGTTTTTCTGCAAGAACAATTACAGAATACAAAAATTAAACTTTTGAACGACATCGGTGGTTTAAGTTTGGGATACACTGATATAAAATACTAGAATACTGTTTATATAATATTGTGGCACAGCAGTTTACTGTAGAAGATTAGAAACATATGATTTCAAAATATCTACATTTAATAAGTCGTTTTAAATATGTATTTAAGCTGTATTACGTAATTCGTAATATTTCTTATCCTAATGTTGCTTTCAAAAGAAGATATGTCGGTTGCCTATACTCTTTTAAATCTTTATTAATATATTAAAGGTACTAAAAAAATGGTACAGTTTATTTGAATGTGTATAATTGATAAGTTTTAAAACAATTTCGAATTTAGAATTGAATTTTTAAATGGAACTTTCAGTTGTGTTGTGTATTGATTTTGGTCAGCTGATCAATTGTCAAACTGCGAACGTCAAATTGACAAGCAAACAATTTGGGGTGTTGCGAGTGTAGGTTTGTTCCGTTTCGATTGGGGTCTAATTCAATTTGCTGAGAAAATGTTATTGATCGACGCTAATAATTGGTAGTTAAGTTTATTCGGGTATAATGAATCTGCACCAGATAGTGAGTGGGGCTTGCAACGGGGGCGACAAGTGTTTCGCAGTCGGAAGCGTCGAAGGCGTCCCCTTCACGGTAAGAACCAATCAACATTCGTTATTTGTTTAGCACTCAAACCTTAATCTCAATCGTTTCTAGGCCTACGCCGCGGGTTGCAACATTGTCATTTTGGCGTCGACGTTCGAAAGGGTGCAGATAATACCTGGTGCTGTTCATGACTACATCAGGATCAGCTCCATCGATTGCTCCAGTGATACTGGCAAGATTGCAGCTGCCTACGATAACACAGTCTGCATATATGAACCGACACCATTGATCCACAATAATTCCACTCATGTAATTATCATTAA